TCTATCTATCTATCTGTCTGTCTGTCTGTCTGTCTGTCTGTCTGTCTGTCTGTCTGTCTGTCTGTCTGTCTGTCTGTCTGTCTGTCTGTCTCACCTGTCCGGCGACACACTCCTCTGATGTCCAGTGGGCACGTTCAACAGCGGGAGCTCTGACCTTGTCGAAAGGTCACCCTGCTTCTGGGCAAATACGACCTTGACCTTTCCCCCTGGAAGGCCATCACCACCACCAACACCTCCTCCTCCTGCCTCTCCTCTTCCTCCGGCTCCTCCTCCTCCACCTCTTCCTCTTTCACCTCTCGTCACCCCCTGGACCCTAAAGCTCTCCTCTTCTTCCTCCGCGTCTTGGAAGCGCAAGTGGTTGCTGTTGTTGTTGTTGTTGTTATTGCTAAGGCTATTGCTGCTGCTGCCACAGTAAATGTCGTGATGTTGCGTGGCGTGCGTGTCGGCCCCGAGGCACCAAGGGGAGGGGTTCGGATCTCTCTCCTCCTCCTCCACCGCAGCAAAGACGGATGACGAAGAGGAAGCGGAGGGGTCCGCTGCGTTTTCGAGGGCGTCTCTTCTTGTTGCAGTGTTGTTGTTGTTGTTGTTGTTGCTGGTGCTGGTGCTGCTGCTGGTGGTAGTGGTGACACGTGTACTTGAGGCTGCAGCTGCAGCTTGTGTTGACGCACTCGTTGCTGTTGTTGCTGTCGTTGCTGTGTTGGTGTCTGTCGTGGTAGGTGTGAATGTGGATGTGGATGAGGATGACGTGGCAGATGATTGCTCGGCGGATGAGGCGACCTCGTCGTCTGCACAAGCGCTGCTGCAGGTGTCGCTGGCGAAGGTGACTTTGCGACGCTCGCTAACGCTCTGGGAACCTCTGCTATCGCCCTGAGGAACGGTCATTATACCCGCATGCTGACGTCACACGAATACCACGCAACGGGCTGTTGACCTTTAAACTTGTTGACCCTTTGACTTTTAAACTTGGTGATCTTTGGGGATCTTTGACTCTTTGATCGTTTTACTCAGTCGACTATCTTTGACCTCTCACCTCAGTTTGTTGATATTTGGAGTGTGTCACTTTCAAGTCCTACTTATTGACTCCCCTTGTTTTTTCCCCCTGTCTGTCTGTCTATTTGCCCTTCTTTCTGCCCCAGAAACTAAATGGTCGTAATTTTGTGATTTTGTGTCTATGTGTTTCTCTTTACTCAAACCTCAAAACCTCAGACCTATTGCGATGGGTTTGTCAGCGTCGCGGGAAGGGAATGGGGTTGGTCTTTCTGAGGACGCAGTTTCTGATTGGACGCCTTCTATCTTCCTATTTGCTGGGTTATGATGTTGGGCGTGGCGTAGCTACCTGAGGAGGCAGTCGCTGACTGGACGACTTCTGGGGTCACAGACTGTCTCCTGATTGACCGGCTTGTGCTTCTGGGCGGAGACTAGCGTTGTGAGAATGATGACAATATTTACGAAGACTGCTTCTAATTCGCTTTTCGATAGAGTTACTGTTCAAGTGCGTTTCTTCTGTCGAAATATCAGCCACTGGATGGCTACAATCTACAAAATAACGATCTGAGGATGGTGGTCGTCGAGTCGAAGAATCTGGGTCTGTTGAGTTGGTAGCTCGTCTGACGTCGTCTCAGAAGGTTCGGGTTCCCATCGTTTACTGTATATCTTTGGGTGAAGCTTCACTGCAACGAAAAAAAAGGTAAGCAAGAAGGATGAGTGATACAAAAGATAAATAATAATAGTTTTGTTTCGTTTGTAATTTCGCACACACGCTTAATGCTCTTCTCTGGTGCCATCGGTGGTCTTGTGGTTGGGCTACCACCAGGCGTGAAATTGCGGGTTTGGGGATTCGCAATATAGGCGCAACGTTGTGTCTTTGGAACAAACGCTTTACTCGAGTCTTTGTTTCATTTGAATCGGTTCTATGGATACTAAATTCAGACTTCCCGAATCTTATTTTATAGCCTTGCAGTGCTGTAAGGGGTCTACAAAAATTTAGTTAATTAGTGTTATGTAAGACTCAAATATGACACTTTAATTAATTTATGTTGATAGCATTGTAAAATGAAATACTCTTTCATCTTTCTTCCTTTCTCTCTTTCTTTCTTCCTTTCTTTCTTTCTTTCTTCCTTTCTCTCTTTCTTTCTTCCTTTCTTCCTTCCTTTCTTTCTTCCTTCCTTTCTTTAATTCTTTCTTTCTTTCTTTCTTTCTTCCTTCCTTCCTTCCTTCCTTCCTTCCTTCCTTCCTTCCTTCCTTTCTTTCTTTCTTTCTTTCTTTCTTTCTTTCTTTCTTTCTTTCTTTCTTTCTTTCTTTAATTTCCTCTGTTTTTTTGTCTGAGTATAATATACAAAGATTTAGAGGTGTCGAGGACCGTTAGCTCAAGCGTTTGGGTGTGTGTTCAGGGAGG